GAAAAGCAGATGGGAGACAAACACAACGTCCGTGTCGGAGATCTTTCAATAGACCCTGTCCCACACGAGAATGCAAACATAGGCTGGGAAGAAATAATCCGTAAAGGTAAGAGTTCATTTAATTTTCTCTTCGTATCACTTAGAACGTTTTTCTTGCAGAATATGACACCCAAACAGCATCAGATAGCTATACGACGCGTGATGTAGAAGAAATTTCACTACCGCATTCGGAAAACCTGTTGATGCTGCTTACGGGTCCTGGCGAAATTGCCTTACCGGCGATGGTTGAAATTGAATTACTCCCTCCGTCACACGAGACTGAATTCTTCTGGTCACATCAAGCCGAAGTGAATAGCGAACGCCTCCTGGATACTGATGAGCTAACATCAGGACATATAGATGAATGTCCTCTTGACCTCGAACTAGGTTCACCATCTCTTGCGAGGGACGAAACAGGCCTACGTATAGTTGGGGGAGATTCAATGATGCGCACCGGCAAGTATATGTGGTTGATAATTTCGAGAACTGCACTAATTTGAATACTGTTTTCAGGCGGTCGATTTGAAGAAAGCTTCGCCGCAACGAAACCGAAGAAAGCAGTTTCTTTGACTCGCTCCGAAACCGTGATTATGAGCATTCCAGGAGGTCCTCCAATGAAATCCGCTGAATTAGATCCGTTGGCGGTTTGTAACTGCCCTGCCTGTAAGAAGACTGTCGAGTTCAACCAACGCAGCCAACAGGCACCGACTTGCAAACCATACAATTCCGATTTCGAGCCCCGAAACGACAAATCCATCGAAAAAGTAATGCTGAAAATATACGCCAACTTTGATGCATTAACATTGCCAACTGGAATGGTTACGGTTATGTTGACAAAGAAAAATTGCAGCTTCGATGATTCCAGAGTAAACAAACAATTTCATCTCACACACACAGTGACATGGTCAATGATTATTATCGCACAAATACATAACCGTGGTGATTAATCAAGTGATCCCCCAATTCACCTTAAGCACATCGATGTTAAACATCAGTTCGTCTGCGATTTGGTTCAGCAGGGGCAGATTGAGTTACGGTACGTGTCAACGGAGCAACAGGAAGGGGCGTAAAGTATCTTTTGCGCAGAATATGTAAAAAAGGAGGGACTTCAAATGTTAAAGCAAATGCATATATAGAGGTACCAGACATGTTTCGTAGTGTCAAGTACTCTATTTTGTAATCTGTGAAAGGGAAATCACAAATCGAGTGTCAACAAAATACATGGCACGTTGAGAGATTGAGCTCGTGAGAGAGAATTTCTCTCACAAATTTGAATTTTTTTGGCTCTCTGGGGACTGGTAGTAAAGCAGGTAAAATTGTATGGGGAAAAATCATTTTTATTTAATTGTAGCTTGTTAAGTATTAATTTCCGGGAAAAAACTGAACGACAAAGCCCTTGACTAGTTTCTTTAGGTTGTCGTTCACTTATTTTGACCTGAATATGCACCGAAAGCGAATTATTCCCACTTCTCTCAATTTCTATATGGGGATTTTTATCACTTCCTACCAGCGGAACAACGCCATCTCTGTGGAAAATGGTCGAACAAAATGATTAATTTAGTGGTTTTGTTGCCCCCTCGGTAGAGATGAAATTTTGCGCTCATTTTTATCAAAACAATCACACCAAAATCAGAGATGTCCCATTTTTTAACTACTCGATTAACAACTAATCGATTATTTTTTTGTTCGCTGTGCTGCCATTTTTCCACCAATAAGAGTGCAGCACATGTTTGAAACGATCGATGATGATCCTCTGGAGAAGTTAATGCTTATATCGGCATGATATGGCCGATTACAAATATTTTACTTTTGGGTTCGTTAATCGATTAATCGATTATTCGAATGAAAATCGGCCATCACTAGATGAATGTGAAACGTCATTTCAAATGTAAGGACCGTTTATAAATAATGATACAGTTTGAAAGGGACCGGGTCGAATCACAAATTACGTCCCCACGGTAACTGAAATAAACACGAGTGTTCACCGGTTGGTCGTAGCGCGATGTCAGATCTATGATGGTGTTACTCATGCAGGCGGGTTGGAAAACGAACAAATTTTGAATGAGCTTATTCAGCGAGTTCGAAAAATCGCATTCGCTTTCCATGTAGACAAGGATCGTCGTATGAAAGAAGCTCTCGATTCCGAGAGCTCAAGATGCTCAAAAAGAAGCCGAGAGTTTGCAGGAGAAAATTGTTCTGCTCAAATGATAAACCTTTTTAAAAGTAATCCAAAAATAAACATAATCAACTTGCAATTTCTCGTTGTATTGTGAACTCACTGAGAGAATAAAATGTTAATGATAATTAAGCTTAAATTATTTTGCCATGTCTGCGGTTGTCATGTGGAGTTCCAGAAAGTACGAAACTGACTAATGCATGAGCAGTGCATCCTCAGGCTCGGTTGCCAAAGCAAGAATAATCACTGCTCTGTTACTTTACAATAATTCATATGTTAAGAGAAAGGATCGTCGGTTGATTTTTATTTGGCTGTGAAATTATGAACACAAATTGAGAGCTTGGTGACATTGATTAAATATTCCTATTATTACATAGTAATGAATAGTGAGCCTAGTTGTGAGCAGTAGTTATTCATTATTATATTATAATATATATTTATAGCCCTAGGCCTATTCACATCCTTCGTAGGTATAGTTGGCCATATGTTCTGTAAAAATTGTATTAGTATCAAGTTCTGTTATACGTGCCATGAGTATGCTATTCTTGATATTTTCGAAAGCTTACCCTGCTGCTCATTTTAAACTAACCTTAATTTGCACTACGGTATAATAAAGCACATCACGTTGTAGCTTCTTAGGTTAAAATAACGAAGTTTTGTGGATTGGATTTTTTTCTGAAAACCGACTGGAAAGTCAGGGAAAGTCAGGGAATTTTTTTCGACTTTGAGTCGACACCCTGAAAGAGAAATTCGACGAAGAGAATCTGTCAATGTTACTTAGGACCTAATGTGAATACGCTGCGTGGGAACTGTCATAACTGTTGACTTGGAAAATCACGGGCCTTACTTGTTAATTCGACAGTGAGCATGCATAAGGGCCTATACGCGATGATCGATTCTCTTCATCGATTTTCTCTTTTGTTAATAACTCGCTAGATTTAACGTTTCTCGGTACGTTTGCTATTGCTTTTGATAGCTAATACAACTTGTTACAACTCTGCATTGAACAAATTCTAGAAAATTGTTTCGCTTAGCTGTAGCAACCCGAATAGAAATTTACATTAGCCCAACGTTTGATTTTGATGTCTACATCAGCATCGAAATCAAATGTATGCCTGATGTCAAACATTAGAAAACATTATGATTTAGTTGTATTTAAGCAACGTAACATGGTGTATACATCAGAAATTTTGGAACAAAATTTTGCCATTCTAATGTCGGTCTGACGTCAAAAATTTCAATCTCTTGACATTAGAACCAAACGTTTTAAGGATGTTTTCTGATGTACATTACGTTAGAACTAAACGTTGTTCGGATGTTTTTATATGTAAACGTTTTCTGATGTTTTCTAATGTAGATGTTTCCCGATGTTAGAACCAAACGTTTTCGGATGTTCTCGGATGTAAAAAACGTTAGAACTAAACGTTGTTTAAATGTTTTTATATGTAAATGTTTTCTGATGTTTTTTAATGTAGAAGTTTCCTGATGTTAGAACCAAACGTTTTTGGATGTTTTCGGATGTAAAAAACGTTAGAACTAAACGTTGTTCGGATGTTTTTATATGTAAATGTATTCTAATGTTTTCTTATGTAGATGTTTCCCGATGCTAGAACCAAACGTTTTTTGGATGTTTTCGGATGTACACAACGTTAGAACTAAACGTTGTTCGGATGTTTTCAATTGTACTTCCTGTTTGTTGTTCTCTGATGTTTTCAGATGTACAAAACGTTTAAAGTAAACGTTGTTTGAATGTTTTAAAATGTAGATGTTTACTAATGTTTTTAGATATACAAAACACTAGAATCTTACTTTTCAAATGCTTTCAATTATATTTACAACACATTAGAATTAGTAACATAATCGTGTAAACACTACACACCATTGTTGTTAGATAACATCATAAAAATGCGTACATAACTGTCAATGCTGAAGCTCCCGTTTCCCACCAGTCAGTTAACTGACCTTAGCTAACCTAATGTCATTGCGGCAACTCTCTATGCGGCAGGGGAACTATGCCATTAGCGCGCTAAGAGTTATTAGACCACTGACATAGGCGCCAATTTGTAGGTGACGAGGCACTTGGTGACATTACAGCGAGCTTGACGATTGTTGCAGCATTTTTTAATCAAACTAACAGTTAAGGTGTGTAGTGTTTGCAAGATCATGTTTCTAGCACTAATGCTTTGTACAATTGAAAGCATTGGAAAAGTTAATTCTCATGTTTTGCACAATCAGAAAACATAAAATTGTACAAAAAAAATCATCCATTCTGGTAGACTATCTCTTAAATGCATACAGAATAGTCATTGCGTAAGCTCCCGTTTCCCACCAGTCAGTTAACTGACCTTAGCTAACCTAATGTCATTGTGGCAACTCTCTATGCGGCAGGGGAACTATGCCATTAGCGCGCTAAGAGTTATTAGACCACTGACTTAGGCGCCAATTTGTAGGTGACGAGGCACTAGGTGACGTTACAGCGAGCTTGACGATTGTTGTATCATTTTTGAACGAACTACCAGAAAAAGATGCCTAGTGTTTACATAATCAAGTTTCCAAATCTACAGGGCCACCCACATTAGATCCGGATCTGGCGCGATGCAGCAAAGTGACAGCTAAATATATTGTCTAACTATAAAATTTACGACAACGCAACGCAAGCAGATCTAATGTGGGTTACCCTTAAGGCCTGTGGAAGAGTGAAAACTGGTGGCCGCGTGAAAGTTTAGGGAAATTCCCCAATAATTAGCAAAATTTAGCAAAACACAAATGCTCCGTGCATGTGTCGAACCACAAACGAAACTCGTCAGTTGGTGGTGATTGATGACTTCCTTGGTTGCTTTGGTGGTGTCATGCCTTCCTTCGAAAAGAAGCACAGCCGTGGATCCTGGCCCTTGAGTTGATGAGTCCAGGTCTAGGTGTTCAATTGCCTCCCTGGCGTAAGTGGTTGCCACTCGGTTGCAGAACATAGAACGATAGAAAATAAACAAGAAAACAAAGCCAAATTGAAGATTAATCCAGGGATTTTGCAGTAAATATTTAGATGAGCTAAGACTAGAGAATGCTAGAGAAACTGTGAAAGACTATCAAAGCAAACTATGCACCTAGATCCAAATCTTTTCAGAAAACTTATCAATACGCATAGTTTGAACCGATGTATAAACATCATGCAGACATTGTTGTCTTTGAAATGTCTACGAGCCAGGTAAAGGGCCGAACCCAATGACACCAGGACAGCGGCATAGCGGTATAGCGGTAAATGTACATTTTAAGGTTAGTTAGAAGAACTACTAGAACTTCAGGGTAGTTCTATAAACATCAGAAAAATACCAGATTTAATTTAATTTAAGTTAATAATTATTCTGAAGACCTACAACTGAACAGAAATTCAAACGATGTCCTTTTGATATTCTTTGAATAGTTTAAATTGATCAGGTATTATTCTGAGAACCTACAACTGATCAATAAATCAATTGAAACTTTTCGGATATTACTACAAGAGATCAAAATAAGCAGGAATTGTTTTGAAGACCTACAACTGATCAGAAATTCAAATAAAGTAATTTAGAAAATATTCGAAGTGGTCAGGTTGATAAGGATTAGAAATTAAAATCTTGAGATATTTTTCGAAGAGGTCAAGTTGATCAGGAATTATTCTGAGGACCAACATCTGATAAAAAATCGAATTGAAGTCGTTTGAAAATTTCTTCAGAACGTAGAATAATCGGAAATTGTAATGAAGATCTTACTACACCGAAGGTCGTAGATCTTCAGAGAAACTAGCAGAACTTTAGGGAAATTAAAAAAAAAACTTCAGAAAAGTTTTAAAAAACTGAAATCTTTAGAGAAATCAAAAGAAAATCAGGGAAGTTCGTAGATCTTCTGAGTAATTTACAGCACTACAGTAATGTTTGTCGTCGTTTCGAGAAATAATCACTACTTTATGGATGTTCACAGATCTTCAGGGAAGTTTGAAGATCTTCAGGGAAGTTTGAAGATCTTCAGAGAAATTAACAGAACTACAGTGATGTTCGTAAATTTAAAGATAATTTTTTAGTTCCTAAGGGAAATTTATAGAACAGAATTTCAGAGAAGTTCGCAGAACTTTAGATAAACTCACAGAACTTCAGGGAAGATCACATAAATTTAAAGATCCTCGTACATCTAAGAGTTATTTTCAGTACTTCAGGGCAGTTCACAGAGCTTTAGGCAAATTGGCAGAACGTCAGGGAAAAATACTGAATTTCAGGGAAGTTTGTTGATCCTCAGAGAAATTTGCAGAACTTAAAGGAGGTCTTCAGATAAATTTTTATTGCTTCAGAAAAAATTGCAGAAATTCAGGAAAGTTTTGTAGACTTTTAGAGAAATTTTTAATGCTTCAGGGTAGTTCGAAGATCTTCAGAGAAATTCACAGACCTTCTGGGAGTACACAGAACTTCAGGGAAGTTCGAAGATCGTCTAAGTAATTTGCAGATTTTTAGGAAAATTTAACATAACTTTTACTTAACTTTAACTAAACTTTAACATAACCTTAACTTAATTTTAACTGAAATTTATTATAATTTAAATTTTAACATAACTTTAACCTAACATCAACTTACCATATCTTTAACTTCACTTTAGCTTTAACATAAATTTAACTAAAGTTTAACATAACCTTAACGTAATTTTAACTTAAATTTAACATAACTTTAATCTAACATTAACTGAACTTTAACTTAACTTAAGCATTAACATAACTCTAAATTAATTTTAACATAACTTTAACTTAATTTTAACTTAGCTTTCACATAACTTTACCTTGAACATTACTTCAACTTTAACTTAACTTGAGCATAACATAACATAACTTTAACTTATCTGTAACATAACTTTAAGATAACGTTAACGTTAACTTAACTTAACTTAGCATTAACTTTAACTTAACTTTAACTTAGCGTTAACTTAACTTTAACTTATCTTTAACTTAATCTTAACTTAACTTTAATTTAACTTTATCATAACTTAACCTTAACTTTAACTCATCTTTAACTTAACTTTAACTTCTCTTTAACTAAACTTAACCTTTTTTTTTACTTAACTTTAACATAACATTAATTTAATTTTAACTTAACTTTAACATAACTTTAACCTAACATTAACTTAACTTTAAATTAACTTTAGCATTAATATAACTCTCACATAATTTTGACATAACTTTAACTTAATTTTAACTTAGCTTTCGCATAGCTTAACCTTGAACATTACTTTAATTTTAAAATCATTTTAATTTTAACTTCACTCTAACGTAATTTTAACTTTACTTTAACTTAACTTTAACAAACTTTAACTTATTTTTAACTTTAACATAACTTTAACCAAATTTTAACTTAACCTGAACACAACCTTAACTAAATTTTAACTTAAATTTAACATAACTTTAATTTAACTTTAATGTAATATTAACTTAACACATCTTTAACTTGACTTTAACTTTATAATAACTTTAACTTAACTTTAACATAACTTTAACTTAACTTGAACTAAACTTTAACATAACCTTAAATTAATTTTAACTTAAATTTAACAGAACTTTAACCTAACATTAACTTGACTTTAATTAACTTTAAATTTTATCTTAAATTTAAAATAAGTTTACCATTAACATAACTTGAACTTAACTATAACCTAACATGAACTAAACAGATCTTTAACTTAACTTAAACTTTATAATAACTTTAACTTATCATTAACATAACTTTAACTTAACTTGAACTAAAGTTTAACAAAACCTTAAATTAATTTTGACTTAAATTTAACATAACTTTAACCTAACATTAACTGAACTATAACTTAACTTTAAATTTAATCTTAAATTTAAAATAACTTTAACATTAACATAACTTGAACTTAACCTAACATAAACTTAACATATCTCTAACTTAACTTTAATTAAACTTTAACATAACCTTTACGTAATTTTAACTTAAATTCAACATATCTTTATCCTAACATTAACTGAACTTTAACTTAACTTAAGCATAAACATAACTCTAATTTAATTTTGACATAACTTTAACTTAATTTTAACTTAGCTTTCACCTAACTTTACCTTGAACATTACGTTAACTTCAAAATTATTTTAACTTTAACTTTAACTTAAACTTAACTTTAAGTTAACTTATACTTAACATAACATAACATAACGTTAACTTAACTTTAACGTAACTTTAACTTAACGTTAATTTAACTTCAACTTAACTTTAACTTACCATCACAGAACTTTAACTTTAGTTTAACATAACTTTAACTTTAAAATAACTTAAACTTAACTTTAACAAAAAATTAACTTTAAAATAACTTAAACTTAACTTTAACTTTAAAATAACTTTAACTTAACAATAACTTAAACTTAACTTTAACTTTACTTTAACATAATATTAGCAAAACTTTAACTTAAATTTAATCAAATATAACATAAATTTAATTTATTTTTTGCTTAACTTTACCTTACCTATAACATCCCTAATAAACGGGTACCATACACTAACAATTTCATAGATGGTACGACCATACCACATAAAGTTGAGATGATATCCCGAATTGGTGGTTAGGCTCCTCTAATGGTTATTGTTTATGCGGGATAACTTTAAATAAAGTTTAACATAACATTAACTAAGCTTTAACATAACTTTAACTTTAAAATTACTTTAACTTAACTTTGACACAACTTTAACATAACTTTAACTTATCTTTAACATTAATTTAACTTAACTTTACTATAAAATAACTTGAACTTAACTTTAAATTTAAAATAACTAAAACTTAACTTTAACTTTAAAATAACTTTAACTTAACCTAAACTTTACTTGAACCTCTAGAACTAGAATACTCTAGTTTGAATAAACCTTAACTTAACATAATTGAACTAAACACGAACTTAAATTGTGCTCAACTTTAACTCAATTTTAACTTAACTTGAACGTTACTTTAATTTTAAATTAATTATAACTTAACATTATCATAACTTTAAATTTAACATAACTTTAACCTAACTTTAACTTAACTTTAACTAAACTGCAACATAACCTTAACTTAATCTTTACTTAACTTGAAATTTTAACTTAAATTTAACATAAATTTAACTTAACTTTAACCTAACATATACTTAACATATCTTTAACTTAACTTTAGCTCTAACTAAACTTTAACATAACCTCAACGTAATTTTAACTTAAATTTAACATAACTTTAACCTAACATTAACTGAAGCTTAACTTAACTTAAGCATAAACATAACTCTAACTTAATTTTAACATAACTTAATTTTAACTTCGCATTCACATAGCTTAAACTTAACATTAACTTTAACATAACATAACTTTAAATTAACTTTAACTTATCTTTAAGATAACTTTAACATAACGTTAACATAACTTAACTTTAACTTAACTTTAACTTAACTTGAACATAACTTTAACTTTAACACAACTTTAATTTCAAATTAATGATAACTTAACATTATCATAACTTTAACTTAACTTTAACATAAATTTAATTTAAATTAAACGTTAACATAACTTATACCTAAATTTGAATAAACTTCTACTTAACATAATTTTAACTTACCGTTAACTTAACATTAACTTAAATTTTACTTAACTTTAACTTAACGTTAACTTAACTTCAACATAACTTTAACTTAACTTTATCTTACACATAACTTTAACTTTACTTTATCTTAACTTAAACATAACTTTAACTTAACTTAAACATAACCTTAACTTAACTCTAACTTACCTTTAACGTAACTTTAACTAAATTTTAACTTTTACTTTAACATAAGTTTATCTTACCATCAACATAACTTTTATTTTAACATAATTTTAACTTAAATTTAGTTGTTACATACTTAATTTAACTTAACTTTAAATTTTACCTAACTATAATAAAACTTTAACTTAAACATAAACATCGGGATCCGGCATCGGAATGCGTTGCATCAGTAAGGATGCTTAACTCAGCCGGATTCCTCCTGCGGATCAATTTTGGAAAATAGTTACATCAAAATTGATCCGTTGGAGGAATCCGGATGAGTTAATCATCCTTGTTGATGCTTTGCATCAGTCAATTAAATCCGCCGGATTCCTCCAGCGGATCAATTTTTGGAAAAAAAATACATCAAAATTGATCCGCTGGAGGAATCATGATGAGTTAAACATCCTTACAATAAGGATGCTTAACTCAGCCAGATTCCTCCAGCGGATCAATTTAAAAAAATAATTACGCTTAATAACAAATTGTTCAATACTTACCTCTATTCCCGAACACCTCCGGAATTATTGGAAGCAGCCGGCTGAAAAAAAAACAATTACAAAATAATCAAAATTTTGGATCTGTTTGTTAGAATTTGTAATTATTTTTCAAAATTGATCCGCTGGAGGAATCCGGATGAGTTAAACATCCTTGTTGATGCGTTGCATCAGCAAGGATGCTTAACTCAGCCGGATTCCTCCAGCGGATCAATTTTGAAAAATAGTAACATCAAAATTGATCCGTTGGAGGAATCCGGATGAGTTAATCATCCTTGTTGATGCTTTGCATCAGTCAATGAAATCCGTCGGATTCCTCCAGCGGATCAATTTTTGGAAAAAAAGACATCAAAATTGATCCGCTGGAGGAATCCGGATGAGTTAAACATCCTTATTGATGCGTTGCATCAGTAAGGATGCTTAACTAAGTCAGATTCCTCCAGCGGATCAATTTTTAAAAATAATTACACTTAATAACAAACTGTTTAACACCTACCTCTATTCAATTTCCGTACCCGTCCCTTAATCCGGAATTATTGGAAGCAGCCGGCTGAAAAAAAAAATACAAATTAATCAAAATTTTGGATGTTTGTTAGAATTTTGTAATTATTTTTCAAAATTGATCCACTGGAGGAATCCTGATGAGTTAAACATCCTTACAATAAGAATGCTTAACTCAGTCAGATTCATCCAGCGGATCAATTAAAAAAAATTACACTTAATAACAAACTGTTCAATACTTACCTCAGCTTACCTCTATTCAATTTCCGAACACCTCCGGAATTATTGGAAGCAGCCGGCTGAAAAAAAAAAACAATTACAAAATAATCAAAATTTTGGAAACAGATCCAATTATTAGAATTTGTAATTATTTTTCAAAATTGATCCGCTGGAGGAATCCGGATGAGTTAAACATCCTTGTTGATGCGTTGCATCAGCAAGGATGCTTATCTCAACCGGATCAATTTTTGAAAATAATTACATCAAAATTGACCCGCTTGAGAAATCCGGATGAGATAACTAATGCAACGCATCATTTTTTTAAATTACAAATAATAACACTAAATATAACAAATAGGTATTTGAATACTTACTGTTAAAGTTGCTAATTTCCTTCGCGGCTCGGGTGAAGGAATTTGCGGTGCGCTCCGTGCACTCAGCCATCTTGTCTAGTTTGTTTATAAACAAACCAGACAAGATGGCTGAGCGCACGACAAAAAAAAATACACCAATTTAAAAACGTCAGTCTTTAAGTCGCCCAATGTCAAATGACGTCACTTTGTCGCCGGCAATTCGTGTGTAAAGCCCTACAGTAAAAGTATGGACGTCTGTCAAAAGTTGTTCCAATCGAACCGTCAAAATGCACCGCTTCCCTAATAAAAATTGTATGGTTAATTTGCTTAACGACGTGTTCTGGGTATCATCCAAACCATTTGTGGAATAGTTCAATGATTTGGGTTATCGTTCGTTTATGGTTATTTTTTTATTAGGGTTTGCTCGATTGGAACAGCTTTTTCAGTTTTGTGGTGTCAGTCGTCCATACTTTTACTGTAGGGCTTTATTCGTGTGGGGTGCTGTATTCGTATACGGTAAGAAAAAAGTACCCAACGGCCAGTTCGCTTTTACCTACTTTTGACTAGTTTGTCTCCTTTTCTCCTTCTAATGTTGTCAAAAACGGAGGAGCAAAACCACCCAACAGGGGTAGTAACGTGTGGGAACCCAACGTTGAGTATAATAATATTTACCTACTGTTGGGTACAACTAACTTACTTTTGCGTTGAAAGCTAGTGGAAAATTCCATACGAATTGCACACAAGTAAATGAAAACTACTTTGACCCGCTTTACCTATTTTTGGGTTCCTGCACTATAGTGCCGAGATGAGTGAAAAGAACTTACTTTTGGGCACTTTTTTCTAACCGTGTACACGGATGCGGTATACACGCTAACTTGAAAGTACTCATTAATGAGTAAAAAAAAGACCCATTTTGAAGAAAAGTGGTTTAACTCATTGATGATTAAACAATTTTACCCATTAATGAGTATCTGTTACCCATTAATGATTAACAATTACTCATTAATGGGTAACAGATTCTCATTAATGGGTAAAAAATTTACTCATTTAATGAGTTAAGCCACTTTTCTTCAAAATGGGTCTTTTTCAACCATTAATGGGTACTTTCAAGTTAGCGTGTACAGCACACTATGGCCGACGTTATGTTTAACGTACAGAACAAGAGTAAAATCGGTTTTCAATTGAAACGATAATAATCAATTAAAACACTAATTAACTCTTGCACTGTAACGTCACCAGGGCATTGTTTTACATACAAATAAACATTGCCCACAGGGCATGCCAAAACTTCTTTCAGTGATTTGAGGCTATGTCAGTCGTGCAAGAGTTAATGGTGGTAAGCTCTACCTTGTAATCGCAATGTGCTATTTTATATGATTGCGTCGAGGATTGCGTCGAGGATCGCGCATTGGGCACATTTATGAGATTATGAATGCGGAAACACTAATAAAAGTACGGTTTTACGTTAAATTGTTGTTGTGTCTTCATCGCACATACCTATTCCTTGGTGAATGAAGAATAAGTGCGCAGAAGGCGTCAAGACGATACAACATCTAAGTGCACTTTTATTAGCGTTTCCACTCTTCTAAAGAGTTCAATTTTATTTGCAATTGATAATGTCACAAAACTATGCATAGGAGGCATCACTGCACTGCAAGCCACTTTTTATTGTTGTGTCATATGATATATTCTAATGTTTTATGCGTGCAACAATTTACATCGTGATGAAGTTTGATTCTAATGTAACGTTTGGTTCTGTTGTCATTTGATGTATTCTGATGTTTTATGCGTGCAAAAAATTACATCGTAATGAAGTTTGATTCTAATGTAACGTTAGGTTCTGTTGTCATTGGATGTATTCTGATGTTTTATGCGTGCAACAAATTACATCGTGATGAAGTTTGATTCTGATGTAACGTTAGGTTCTGATGTCATTGGATGTATTCTGATGTTTTATGCGTGCAACAAATTACATCGTGATGAAGTTTGATTCTGATGTAACGTTAGGTTCTGATGTCATTGGATGTATTCTGATGTTTTATGCGTGCAACAAATTACATCGTGATGAAGTTTGATTCTAATGTAACGTTAGGTTCTGTTGTCATTGGATGTATTCTGATGTTTTATGCGTGCAACAAATTACATCGTGATGAAGTTTGATTCTAATGTAACGTTAGGTTCTGTTGTCATTGGATGTATTCTGATGTTTTATGCGTGCAACATATTACATCGTGATGAAGTTTGATTCTAATGTAACGTTAGGTTCTGTTGTCGTTGGATGTATTCTGATGTCAAATTTTACATCGTCAAGACGTTTGATTCTGATGTAACGTTTGAGACTAATGTATTTTTATGTACTTGGACGTCACACTGAAGTCTGAATACATTAAGGGTACAGCAATATACGTTAAAATTTAATGTATTGAAGATGTCTGCTGATGTTTCCTACATTACAATTTCTATTCGGGAATGCAAAGAGAAATTCGATGAAGAGAATCGATCATCGCGTATAGGCCCTTATGAATGCTCACTGTCGAATTGATGTTATGCTAATTTCACCAAAAAGGTAGACGAATGTTTTCCATACAGATAGTTTCTGGCACTACGGTTGTCTTTGTTTACTGAGGGTAAAAGTGCTTGGCGTTTCTAGATGGCCACATTCAACGTTCAGTTGTACTTATTTATATGTTTCCCTAGTCAAATTATCCATCTTTAATTTTTATTTGTACCAAATCAATGGTTTTTGCTTCGTCTTCTTCATGTTGTCTTTCGTCTGTTCACGAATCTTCTCTCAAAGATCTTGTGTGCTGCTGGTAATGACATTCACCGTTGCTGTCATTCCAGTAATGAGGCACCGAGCGCCCAATTCTATTAGAAGGAATGGGACGCCAAGTTAGCGCTCCTCCTCTGCCGTGAGATAAATATGAGTGTGCTACACTGACACACACACACACACAAGTAGTCCCATTGAGGAGTTGTTTTGTTTACAACAAAACCCGCACTGGTGGGTTTCTGCCCGCTTGATCTTGTACGGAAACAGTCTACCTCGAATAGCATACCAATGCTGCGGATAGTTATATTTAACAGCATAAGCGATGCAGTTCTACCGATGGATGGTACTTGCAGCAAAAAGGTAGTCGAAATGGAACTCATACAGGATACTGGTTCCAGTGTTCAGGTAAGTATGTGGTTATACTTCCAATTGGAATAGTGGGTTAGGTACTAATACATTGCCTTCTTCCAGTTCAGAGTCTGATTCTATCGGAAGGAGTGCATTAATACACTTTTGCAGTGCGAAACAAATGTTGGTATGGGTTGGACTGCGGACTTCCACCAGATACCTCGGCGGCGGACTAAACACATTAGTTGGGCTGGCAATCGAGTGGGATTTGTATCGATACCAGTGATGTCCATTTCTTTTAGATAACCGTACAGGAGGCTTAAGCCATTTGATCTTGTATGAAAACAGACTACCCGGTTAGGAATTTGTTTCTCAAGGGTTTATATAAGTTAGACGAGCGTGAATCAGTTCTATCGATGCTCCAAAAGGTGTTCAAGGGAACTGCATTACCGACTGGAAGTGTACGAATAGCTGTCAATCGCTAGAACTGCCACCAAATCGATCACTATAAGAGCATTGCGGATTTCAACAGATAAAGGGTAATCTGCTTCCATGTACGGTTAAATGGAACAACCCTCCAGTTCGGGAAAAGCACAATAGAATGAAAACACTCGGGAGAAGTCTCCAACGACAGGCTTGTCTTCCGAGATCTGTGTTCCAACAACAACAACAACAACCCATTCCATTACTGGTACGACAGCAGATAACGGTCGTTGCCAGCCCTAAAGTTTAGACTTGGTGCCTTTTGAAGGGGGCAACCAAGGAAACGCAGAAGGCAGATCACGGTGAAGTGAGGTTGGTATAAAAATAGTTCTGATTTCGGCTTGGGCGTTGATTTCGATTAATCGAAAAACGGCACTCAAGCAGTCAGTAAAACAGCTCCAACAAGAACAAAAAAGGTTGGAAGGCGAAACATCACCTACATGGAAAAATCGATTACCTTTTTGCTGCTGCAAAAGGGTCAAGTCCATCCCCATGAAAAATTCTTATTGCCACCAATCCTTGCAGATTTTGTTTCCGCCCCTTTTTAGTGTGGCCAATCCACGTACGTTTTCGCTTCTGAAGACATCGACGATGGAGAAATCTGATGAATAGCTGCAGCTTCTGGATTTTCTCAACTGATACGAACCTTGTTTTGCTGGCGTATATAACAGATTTCAAATTCGAGTTGATAATTCGGATTTTGGTGCGTGGACTTATGTGGTTTGACTTCCTAATATTTCGCAAACTCGAATAGGCTGCCCTGCCTTCTAGATTCGTGCACTTATGCAAAAGATAGTCGATGGTCGATCATACAGAAGATTCTTTCTTGACCTGAGATGTTATTTTCCAACTAGAACATTCGCAGACGAGAAGTGGATGCATATCAAGATTTTCAAGCTTACAGGTAAACTTGAAAAATCTTGGATGCATTAAGAGTAACCAAGGATTTGATTACTGGTAAATTGATGATGATTTTTTTTATTGATGATGGACGATTCCAATGCAACTGCTAGCTATAAATATTATTGAATACTATGCCAGTTATGGGACGTTCCAAGAACTAAACCGTACCGGTGGCTTAATCCATTTGATCTTGTATGAAAGCAGACTACCCGAAGAATACAGGTAAATCAGGATGTTTATAAGTATGAATGTAGTTGGAATGGTTCTATCGATGCAAGGAAGGCATGTCATCCATCGCTAGAACTGGAATCGAACATCGGGTGAATAAAAATGCTTGAATTTCCTGTTCAACCCGGGTAGTCTGCTTACACACAGGATTAAATGGATTAACCCACCAGTTCGGGTCAAGGTACATTCGGAAAAGAAATACATTTCCAAAGAAAAATGTCACAAATGTGCTTACAAACTTTCATAATTATTCGTCAGGAATTTTACCCCAACACTGGTACGACGGCCACCACTGTCCATGCCAGCCTCGTTGCCAAACGCCACTGAGAGCAGTAGTAGTAGGTAGCAGCAGCAGCAAGCAGTAGTAGTAGCAGCAACCAACCGCACTTCAAGCTAAATAGTGTTGAATGTTAGATCGGGGCCATTCGTCGAGGAGAAATTACTCTTCCGCGAATCGATGGTTGAACATTCGTGTACCATGTTTCGAAAGCATTCTCGAAGCTCGAAACGAGTGTAGTATCTTGTGTGGAAAATTATCGACTACCTTTTTTACCGAACGACTGTCGTCGAATGTTTGTCAACGAGTTGTAATTTAAGGTTAATTTCTTTGCTCTTATTTGTCATTCGGGTACGGGTGAAACATGCCATTTCTCCTCTCACATCAGCGATAATTTCGATCTC